GCATGGGAAAGTTACGATAAATGGAAACAGCTGAGGCAATCTACAGGGGGAAAAAAAGGACAGCTATGATCAGATCCCGGAAATAATTCAATCAAATACTGATAATTATTTTTATATCTTACATGTACTAACTTGTATAAAACTATTAGCAGATGAAGTAAAAATGACTAAGTTTGTATTACCTGGCTAGAAATGTGCTGAGTTCCATGAATCATGGTTGCCAGAAAGCCATTAAGTGCTTCAAATCCAAAGCATGAGTAGACCCAAAGTGGACCAAATAACTGTACAAAGAAGGTGAGGTGATGAAGCAGATGAAAATTGTGGGTCTGACTCCCTTCTCCTGTTCATAAAAAAAAATAGAAATAATTAAGACAAGACTAGTGTTTTCATATATAAAACCAATACTTGTAGTATGAACAAAGGATTTTCCTTACATGGCTCCCTACATTGAATGCTGTGGCCTCTAGGAAATGCTGAAGGGAGCCCCATTTAGGCCTTGAACTAGTGAAATCTACATGTAGGCTGCTTTTAGCATTTTTGTTGATGGAGCAACTTTGAGTAACAAAATGGTCAAGAAGTTAACAGATTGACTTACCATAGAGTTCAGGCATAAGCTTACAAAAATTATCCAGGAGCTCATCTGCAAGTTTAAGCTGATCCATGGTGATCCTGTCACTCACAAGAATAGCTACAGCTGTCACTAACATGGTGTAGTGGAGGAAGTGTTGACTTGGAAGGACACCTTTTAACACTGGCACAGAGTAGTGAAGAAGCCAATTTCTGTATTCAGTTGCTTTACAAAAAGAACATTAATATCATGATTAACACTACTACAGGTCTTTAATATTCTCTTAATGACTTAATGATGATAGTCTTATTTTCTATAGTCTATTCTTTTTGCTCAGTCATTTAATCATTATTATTTAGTTTTTAAGCATTGACGTATTTACCTTTCCATGTTGCACGGTCTGCAAGACTTCTTGGACACCGGGTGATGACGTCAGGAACTTTGATGCAGAGCAATCTCTTGTTTAACACAGCAATCTGAGACATACCAAGAAAATAGACCAATTTCCTTTGCAGGATGTACTTGAAAAAACTGATTAAGGCAATGTGTATAATTTTTTTCCATGTCATTTCAAAAATCAAAACAAAAAATCCCATACATCTGCATGTTGTACATGTACCTTTGATCCTAAGAAGAATTCACTTTCCCTGTTTTCTGTATTCAGCCAAATCAAAAACAAAAAAGATTCATCAGTGATTTTGACACTCCAAGACATACTGAGTGCATCCAGTCTACCACAAAACCCTTCACCAAGTCAAATGGTTTAAAGAGCAGGAATACAGATGCCCCTTTTATTCCATTTACCTGTATGATTACCAACACAAAAACAAAATGTATAGAGTCACCACTCAAAGATAATAACTCACTGAATTAACATGTCTCATTCATTATGCAAACTTTGTTATTTTGTATCAACCTAAAAAAAAAGACTCTTTCAAGAAGACATTGTAAGCAGTGAAATTTTCATAAACAACTTTCACACATACATGATAGCTCATGACAGCTCAAGGTCTGAATGGTAAAGGAGTAATTTAATTTTTTTCCCCAAGGAGCCTGCACAGGGTCTTATTAGGAATAAACTGGGTGATCAAAACTTACTGGCTTTCCGCTCTGAATGACTTTGCGAACTGATTCGACTACAGATTTATGTGTCCTCAGTACCATGTTGGTAGTATAGGGCCAGATTCTGTGTAATCCGCCACTGCCCACCGTCTTCCCTTCATCTTCACAGACTGAGCAGCCCTTTTCTCCATTATACTGCTTCATATTAGACACGCGTGACTTTGCAGGGAGATCAGCTGATGACAACAGGAGAGTTGCTCGTATGAGTTTTTCTTTACCATTAGGAGTCACAACAGTGAGACCTGCAACAGTTACATAATGTGAGACAATAATGTCAAGTGATGTAATAATTACAATAATATTACAACTCTTAATTTGCTCTTTACACAAATGTTGTTTCAGCTGGCCACTTTCAGTGTTTTGTGCATGTAGCAGCTTTTGTATGGGATTTTTCATTGACATGCATTTCAAGATCATAGTTGTTTAATGCAATAACACCGAAAGTGGAAGTAAAACATTTACAGGTACAAGAAATTGTTACTCTTTGTCATTATTACACATGTATGAACTTGAATTCAACTTATAACACCTGCAGCTGGTACTACATATTTACATATTAAAGCTGCAGTGCTAAGAATTTAACTTAAAGAAAAGCAATGTCAATATAAAACATTTGATCATATAATCTCAATAGCCACTTCTGAGAACTCAATATGTGTTGTTGATCTTACCATTATGATAGAGGCCATTGATGCTCTCAACTATTGGTCTACAAAATGTTTGCATATTTGGCTTTTTCTTTGAGCACCAAAGGCCAGCAAGGAACATGTATCTTCTGGAATACCTGCATGCAAAGGAAAGTATTATTATTAATGTAATGTGGTTAAAAATTATTTAACCTCTTACAAAATTTGACAATTTGACGTCTTGGTCTTGGTCTGAAAATAATTATAATGAACAAAAACAAACCACACTAACTTGTGTAGGGTTTCAGAAGTATATACGAGCATGCAACTGTAACATGTGTGATCATAAAAGGGAATTAACAAAAAATACAGCACTATGGTACTGTTATTATAAGGGTACCTCCTTTAAAATAAGCCAAAATTAAAGATTATACATACATTTTAAATAATAATAATAATACGTTTATGTAATACAATAATGTTAACTATTGTTCTGACCACTGCATGCTACTTACCTTAGCCTTGGAGGAAGTTCATTAATTACAAGAAAAATGGGCCAGAAATTTTGCCTGTTTGAGGACTTAAACGGTGAAACACTATCAGTATTAAAGGAGAAGGACAGATTGAATGGATTATCTTTGCTGAGGAAGCCACCCGGATGCATTAGTTTGCGATACTCTTGTCCACTATATATGTCGCGGATGTCATCATCAGTATAAAAGTTGTTTTCAAATCTGTATCCTAGAAGCCTGACAAACTCTGAATCTGTTTGGTGAAAGAAACAAGACAAATATGACGAGATGAAGGGAAGCTTTATAAGCTTGAACATCAGGTGCAGCACAATAAAAGGAAAAAGAAATGGTATTGTATGTGATAAAAGAGTTATTAGGATCTCTTTTTTTATTATAACAAATTCAGCGTATATACATGTATATTACTGAGAACACATAAAAAAATATCGAAGTCTAAGCTTGTCCAGTGTGACTACCCGTTTTTTCAGTCATTCCTAATTATAAGGTGTGAGGAATTTTTTGAAACTATGCGAGAGTTACATCAGTCTCAAACGATGTCCAAAAAAGCTCTTTGGGATATCTGAGAAAAAATCAAGGGCACCATGTACAATGCAAACTTTATAAGCACTGGCACTTTCTTGAATTAATACACTAGGGATCATGGAAACAACTGCACAACTTGAAAAGAAGTTACATTTGTTTTTCATCACTATACTTGGGTCCACAAAAGTGACAAATAGCTACCATTTCCCACCTAGCAAGGGGTCGAGTGATGGTTGATCCCGCTCATTTCTACTTTTGCCCCTTTCCCATTTTGTAAGTCGGGCGCTTTCTACATTTTTATTAAAATTGGGGCAAATCTCTGCCCAGTGTTTCCTTTTATCGTTATATACAATCTTAAATCAGAGCCTTATTTCCATTATCCAAAAAGTTCGTTGTATAATAGGTCTCTGATCTAAGCATTCTACAGGAAAGCAATTTAAAGAGTCAACAAAATGAAAAAAAATGAAAGATGTTAACGTTTATGAAGAATGACTGTGTTCAAGGTTTATTATGAAAAAAAAAAACGAGCTATTCACCTCTGAACAACTGACAAAGCCTCAGGTGTAAGTCAAGTTCCAAGAAGTATTCCATCTTCTTCTTTGCATTTCGGCATTTTTCTTTCGAACACTGGGTTTGATCATTCTTCATTCTTCCAAGACAGTTGCCACAATAAAAGTGTTTCTTTGGCGCAGGTTCTCCAAAAAAATCAGCGAAATACTTCTTTAATAAGTAAGCGGAGGCAACAAATGTGTGGCCATCAGGCAATAAAGAACGTATGACTTTCACCAAATCGGTTAGAGCTTGACCGGAGAGTTGATGCCTTAAACTAAAGAGCATGACTACAATCAGTGCCCCAAGTCTTGATACCTTTGCTCCTTCGTATAACGGAACATCGTCATCATCATTCGTTTGTTTCCCAATGCATTCGGTATCTGTAATCCCATCGCTTGAGCTCGTTTCATCATGATTGTCCCTTTCGTGATCGCTACTAGAGCTTGAATCTGTTTCCCAAAGATCCTGCACATCGCCACTGTCATATGCATCACTGACGTCTGAATCGCTTTCTTTATCAATGAGGACAGAAAAAAATTCATCCAACGAATCTTCCTTATTACTACTGCAAGGTAATGATTCAATGACCTGCTCACAGTTCCTAGGAGAACTACAACGTCGCGGGAAACATTGACCGCTTTCGAAAACGTCTACAGAAACTGAGTTGTCAAGACTGCATTCAGAGAAATCACATCGGTCTGATCGAGACGTTTCTTCGTCATTTGAGTTAGTAGAAGACAAACTTATTCGAGTACTTTCGTTTTGTTTTCTTCTCCAAGCCGTAGTTTTTGGAATCTTTGCTTCTTTGGAATAAATCCAGGATTTGTATCTTCGCTTCCCTCTGTCGGCCATCTTAATGATAGTGATTATTGAGCGGGAAAACATCAAAGTGGAATCAAAGCGTTGTAGCAGGATTCCTGGAACTAGGCTTCTGATTGGCTCCTGTGTAGAACTCACACGTGAAGTGCATCTAGCGGCTGCGGCTACGCCTTCAGAAGTATTTCGCACTTTTCTGACAGAACAAAGTTATAAACTTGAGTAGCAATCATAATTCGTGGTTTCCTTAAAAGTCCAAAGATGCAAAGATCTCAAAGGAAAAGATGTGCTCCTTCCTGGCTGAAAGAGAAGCCTTACATCAAAGTAAGATTTACGCAAGACGGCATGATTACGAAAGTTTTGGAATCGTGGAAAATAAAACTTTCGGAAGGCGGGAAACACTTAGTTGGCTCTCTTGCCAACTTCAGTTTTCGAGTGGACCAGCAAGTTTGGTGCTACTGGAAGACTGTAGACGAGAGAGAAAAATGTTACTTCGAGGGCAAAATTATCGAAATTTGGGATGATTCCGGTGTTACAGCGGAGATCGAAGCAGATGAAGATCAAACGATTCCCGTAACAAATGACTTTGAAGCGTTGGAAGAAGTTGAAGGTAAGAAAATGACACAGCTTTATATAGGCTATCGAGAAGTAACAGTTTAAACATGATCATGCATGATCAAAGAGTGTACAAAGTGTAGTTTTAATGAAGAATAAGGGATCCTTAAACTGAAACTGGGCCTATGGAAAGCGTGCTCTGAAGCGGTTATGTTTGATGTTTAAGGACTCGTTCTTCAAAGTCCTCCGACAAAGTGAACCTGAGACGACTCATTACTCCAACCAGGATTTAAAATTCAAAACTAATTATTAAAAACTATCGTTCAGTTCTAGTGTCGGAAATATACTAAAAAAAGTTTTGCTTGCATTTGGCAGCTGCAAATGGGGAGGTTTCCCCTAAAAAAAAGAAACAGAAGCGGACGAAAGAAATGAAAAAGACCGCCAAACCCCAAGTTGCCAATTACGTCGACGAAGAGGTAAGCTTATTTTTGATGTTAAAAGACATTTAAGAAAGTTGTGATTTCCTGTTGATTCATAATGAACAAAGAACAGTAAAAAATTGCTTTTAGCACTTTGAATTAATTTTTAATTTCAGCTTAATAACAATAAATAAATCAAGGTCAATGGCTTGGATGACATGAATTCGCATTCCACCTTTGTTCAGAAGAGAGAAAAAGAATAGTTACATTATTAACTGCGAATGGCAACTAACTCTCCTGTTTTACTATAATGTTTGATAAAATCAGGCAACTTTCTTATCATTTGGGTAGGTAAAAGCAGCAAAGCAACTTGAAAACAAGAAAAAGCGGGAAGAGGAAAAGGCAAAACATGAAGACAACCTGCAGCAGAGCAAAGAGCTGCTGAAAGTCTCCGACGAAAGCATGGTATGCATTTACATGGCATTAGTAGAAGTAATATCCATACTTTTTACAGTAATGGAAGATTATTATTGACTCTTTCTTTTAACATTACTTTTGTAATTCCCTACAGATGCAGCCCAAAACAATAAACTGTAAAACAACCCAGATAATTTTTGTCTTATTGTTTTGCACGCTCCAACTACACCAAGAAGCTATATTCAATATAAGGGTCTCTTACTCATCTAATCTATATAATTGTATTAAAATTGCAGGATATGCTCTTTGACTTTATGAAACAAATTACATCTCGTCTGGAAAGAATAGAAGAAAAAGTTGACAGAGAGAGTCAGAACTTGCAGAGGCTTCTAAAAAAAATAGAGAAACGAAAGGCATGTATCTCATGTTTTAATATTATTATTATTAGTCAACCGAAAAAAACTGAAGCTTTATACTAGTTGTTAGCAGAGTATCATTGTTAAAAATATTTTTGTTAATATATTGTTTTACAAAACGTGTAATGCAAGGTTGCTTCAACCTATATATCTTTAAAATGGATAATCAGTACTGAAGTACTTTTGTGTCAACTCGAGCCTGTATCAGGACTTAAATTCGGCTATGCTAAGAAGGGAAAGGAAAACCAGACTCTAGCTGACTGCCTTAACAATGAAAAAAAAACATATGTAGTATATTTTTGTTAAACATTTAACCATATGCATCAAGATCAGGTCTTTGGTATTAAGTGGATAAAGATTGTCATGCTGAGTATACCCTTGTTTCTTCTTGACACACACAGGAACATTCTCTTCCTGTGCAAGTCTTTGTAAATAAATCAGGGGAAAACAATGAAAAACCAGCATCTCCAGTTTTGCCGCAAACAAGTTCTCCTCCTGTGTTGTGCTCAACACCAAAGACAGGCCTGCAGCGGGGAACATCTACATCAAAAAAATTTACAGCATCAAGCCAGGATGAGGAAAATGAAATTTTCACCTGTGATGATGAAACCGAAAACAGTGCATCAGTGCTATCAGAGTTGTCAACAGTGACAGCTGTGGAAGACAATTCACCAGAAAAGGACAATAACACAGGTATATTATATGCCAAAAAAGTGTACAGTAATTTGTGTATATCAAAGAAGTTTTCTAGAATTATGTAAAACACACAATAAAATTGTATCATCATACAGATAGTAGATACAGCTAGTACCGGTAGATGCAGCTGCAGCTACCTTGTTCCCCCCAAAATTAAAATGTACGATATATGCATGCATCACCGGGTGGTGAGGTATAAACAATTGAAAGCAATCAAAATTTTCATTTAATAGCATTTAACCCTGGAAAATTAAACTGTATTTATAAAAGTGATACTGACCTAGATTTCCACACATTTGCTTATTTTTTATAGAGACAGCCATCATTGGAGACCCCAAGTTTGGGATCAAGTTGGATAGGGAGTGCTTTGACAACATTGTCAAACACTCTTCTTCTGCTCCAGCTTTTGCACTAAACCTTTTGGATGCTCTTATACCAAAAGAGGTTCAGCGCATTTCAAACATAAAGGGATCAAATGGAAAAACTCCCCTTAATCCATCAATCCTTGCTGCAATTAAAGGTAACAACCCTTGCTTATGTCACTCTCAAGACAGTATGTTGTAGCTATAAGAGTCACTCCACAGTCAGCTCAATTACAGTCTGAAAGTCAGAGCTTAACATTGGCTCATTTGCTATAGAAACTTAAAGGAAATGAAGCTTTAGGGATCAAACTTAAAGTGGATTTTTTTTGTTTTAGAAATAGTGACGTCTGATGAAATAAAAGAAGATATTTATTTTTAAAATTCTCTTACAAAATGTGGACAATTTGTAATGGTAACAAAAATTCATGTCGTCCAATTCGGTTTTTAATCATACAAGTGATTGACAAAATCGGACGACCGTATAGCGGGAATCTAATTATTTGTTTAATCACGAGTATGATTACAGACCGAATTGGACAACACAAAGTTCTGTTACCAATATTAATCATAACTTTAACAAAATTTGTGATAATTAAGGCTCTTTTTTAAAATCAAAACACAAGAAAATCTAAGATTTTTTTGCTAGCAATGAAAAAAAAAAGCCATTGCGTGATGGCACGTACTGTCCAATTACTCAGGTATGACGGGTTCTCTCATATTAAACTGTCCTATTAAGGCTGAAATCAGGGCTGTTGCTAACAAATCAGATTTGAGAATTTTGTTATAGTTATGATTATTACTATACTCGTTTTTGGACCTCGTTTAATATTGGTAGTTTGTTAATGAATTTACAGAATTATGAAGATGGCATTAGTTAATTGCAACATAATTTTAATTCTTGTCTTGCAGGACAGCTAAGAAGGCAGTATAAGTGGACAGAAGAAGAGGTGGAAAAAAAGTGGAGCGGCAAAGCTGGAATTCAGCAGAAAATAGCGGATAAGTGCAGAAATCTAAATAAGAGCAACAAAATTTAAAACATCTTGTCAGTCTATACTTGGGCTCAAGTTCTTTTTTCATAGGAAATGACTGTAAAATCTACTGTTGATGACTATATTTTTATATTTTCTTTACATATTAATGATTATATATTTTGCAATGATCAAGTGAAGTTGTAACAAGGTTCAAGTCTATATACTAGCAATAAATGCCAACCCTTTTTAAGTATTTGTATTCTGGTTGATGGGAACCTTTTCGATGGGGAAAAAAATTGTGGGTAATTAAGGCAGCTATAGGACCCCATGTGTGATATTTTCCACCATCCCACTTAGTTTAGACACGTTCCAAAGCTGGAACTGAGATTTGTGGGTTATTAAAAAACTCAATAAATGGGATCCTGTTTGGGTCACAAACAAGTGAGCCCCAAGTGAGATTGTGGGATCCCACCTGGGATCTCACATGGTACAAATTTGGGATCCAAGGTGGGATTGGCGGGATCCCACCAGGGAAAAACATAGGTTGCTAGGTGGGATTGGCGGGATTTTGCATGGAACGAAGCTGGGATCCCGGGTGGGATTGGAGGGGATCCCACCTGGGATTTGAGGCCAGATTCCATGCGGGATTTTGTCTAGAATGTAGCTTCGATCCCGGGTGGGATTGGCGGGATCCCACCTGGGATTCAAGGCGGGATCCCATGTGGGAGGTTCCAAAATCCCGGTCGGGATCCCAGGTGGGATTGGCGGGATTCCACCCGGGATCCCAGGCGGGATCACGGCGGGATCCAAGGCGGGATTGGCGGGATCCCGCCTGACTTTTTTACCTGGGCTAGATCGATGGGTCGTTAGATCGCTAGATCGTTAGATCGCTAGAGCGATGGATCGCTAGATCGCTAGATCGATTGATTGTTCAATCGTTAGATCACTAGATCGCTAGATCGTTAGATCGCTAGATCGTTGGATCACTAGATCGATGGATCGTTAGCCCGCTAGATCCTTAGATCGCTAGATCTATGGATCGTTACATCGCTAGATCGTCAGATCGCTAGATCGATGGATCGTTAGATCGCTAAATCTTTACATCGATAGATCGATGGATCGTTAGATCGCTAGATCGTTACGTCGCTAGAGCGATGGATCGTTAAATCGCTAGATCGATGGATCGTTAGATCGTTAGATCGCTAAATCTTTAGATCGCTAGATCGATGGATCGTGAGATTGTTAGATCGCTAGATCGCTGGATCGTTAGATCACTAGATCGTTACATCGCTAGATCGATGGATCGTTAGATCGCTAGATCATTAGATGGCAAGATCAATGGATCGTTAGATCACTAGATCATTAGATCGCAAGATCAATGGATCGTTAGATCGTCAGATCGTTAGATCGCTAGGTCGATGGATCGTTAGATCGATCGATCGTTAGATCGTTAGATCATTAGATCGCTATATCGTTAGATCGCTAGATCATTAGATCGCTAGATCGTTAGATCCCTAGATCGATGGATTGTTAGATCGTTAGATGGCTAGATCGTTAGATCGCTAGATCGATGGATCGTTAGATCGTTTGATCGTTAGATCGCTAGATCGATGGATCCTTAGATCATTAGATCGTTAGATTGCTAGAGCGATGGATAGTTAGATCGCTAGGTCGATGGATCAATAGATCGTTAGATCGCTAGATCGTTTCATCCCTAGATCGAAGCATCGTTAGATCGTTAGATCGATGAATTGTTAGTTCGTTAGATCGCTAGATCGATGGATCGTTAGATCGTGAGATCGCTAGATCGATGGATCATTAGATCGTTAGATCGCTAGATCGTTTTATCCCTAGATCGATGCATCGTTAGATCGTTAGATCGATGAATTGTTAGATCATTAGATCCCTAGATCGTTAGACCACTAGATCGATGGATCGTTATATCGCTAGATCGTTAGTTTGATAGATAGCTAAATCGATGGATCGTTAGATCGCTAGCTCGCTAGAAGGCAAGATCGTTAGATCGCTAGATCGATGGATCGTTAGATCGCTAAATCGATTGATTGTTTAATCGTTAGATCGCTAAATGTTTAGATCGCTAGATCGATGGATCGTTAGATTGTTAGATCGCTAGATCGCTGGATCGTTAGATCACTAGATCGTTACATCGCTAGATCGATGGATCGTTAGATCGCTAGATCATTAGATCGCAAGATCAATGGATCATTAGATCACTAGATCATTAGATCGCAAGATCAAAGGATCGTTGGATCGTCAGATCGTTAGATCGCTAGATCGATGGATCATTAGATCGTTAGATCGTTAGATCGCTAGAGCGATGGATCCTTAGATCGCTAGATCGATGGATTGCTAGATGGTTAGATCGCTTAATCATTATATTGTTAGATCGCTAGATCGATGGAGCATTAGATTGTTAGATCGTTAGATCGCTAGAGCGATGGATCGTTAAAGCGCTAGAACGATCGATGGTTAGATCGTTAGATCGCTTCATCATTATATTGTTAGATCACTAGATCGATGGATCGTTAGATCGGTAGATCGATGGATCGTTAGCTGGCTCGATGGCAAGATCGTTAGATCGCTAGATCGATGGGTCGCTAGATCGTTAGATCGCTTGATCATTATATCGTTAGATCGCTAGATCACTAGATCGTTAGATCGTTAGATCGCTAGATCGTTGGATCACTGGATCGATGGATGGTTAGCTCGCTAGATCCTAAGATCGCTAGATCTATGGATCGTTAGATCGCTAGATCGTTAGATCGCTAGATCGATGGATCGTTAGATCGCTAAATCGTTAGATTGCTAGATCGATGGATTCTTAAATCGCTACATCGTTACGTCGCTACAGCAATGGATCGTTAGATCGCTAGATCGATGGATCGTTAGATTGTTAGATCGCTAGATCGATGGATCGTTAGATCAGTAGATCGCTAGAGCGATGGATCCTTAGATCGCTAGATCGAAGGATCGTTAAATCGCTGGATCGTTATTTTGTTAGATAGCTAAATCGATGGATCGTTAGATCGCTAGATCGTTAGATCCCTACATCGTTAGATCGCTACATCGTTGGATCGCTAGATCGTTAGATCGCTGGATGGTTAGATTGGTAGATCGATGGATTGTTATATCGCTAGATGGCTAGATCGTTAGATCGCTAGATCGATGGATCGTTAGATCGTTTGATCGTTACATCGCTAGATCGATGGATCATTAGATCGTTAAATCGTTAGATCGCTAGAGCGATGGATCGTTAGATCGCTAGGTCGATGGATCGTTAGATCATTAGATCGTTAGATCGCTGGATCGTTAGATTGTTAGATCGCAAGATCGTTAGATCCCTAGATCGATGGGTCGTTAGATCGCTAGATCGTTAGTCTGCTAGAGCGATGGATCGTTAGATCGCTAGATCAAAGGATCGTTAGATCATTAGATCGCTAGATCGATGGATCGCTAGATTGTTAGATCGCTAGATCGATGGATCGTTAGATCGCTAAGTCTCTAGATCTATGGATTGTTAGATCGTTAGATCGCTTGATCGTTAGATCGCTAGATCGAAGAATCGTTAGATCGCTAGGTCGTTAGATCGCTACATCAATAGATCGATGGATCGTTAGATCACTAGATCATTAGATCGCTAGATCAATCGATCGTTAGATCGTCAGATCGTTAGATCGCAAGGTCGATGGATCGTTAGATCGATGGATCGTTAGATCGCTAGATCATTAGATCGCTAGATCGTTAGATCGCTAGATCATTAGATCGCAAGATCGTTAGATTGCTAAATCCTTAGATCGCTCGATCGTTAGATCGCTAAATCGTTATATTGCTAGATCGACAGATCGTTAGATCGTTAGATGGCTAGATCGTTAAATCGCAAGATTCATGGAGTGTTAGATCGTTTGATCGTTAGATCGCTATATCGATGGATCATTAGATCGTTAGATCGTTAGATCGCTAGAGCGATGGATCGTTAGATCGCTAGATCGATGGATCGTTAGATCGTTAGATCGCTAGATCGATGGATCGTTAGATTGTTAGATTACAAGATCGTTAGATCCCTAGATCGATGGGTCGTTAGATCGCTAGATCGTTAGATCGCTGGAGCGATGGATCGCTAGATCGCTAGATCGATTGATTGTTCAATCGTTAGATCACTAGATCGCTAGATCGTTAGATCGCTAGATCGTTAGATCACCAGATCGATGGATCGTTAGCCCGCTAGATACTTAGATCGCTAGATCTATGGATCGTTAGATCGCTAGATCGTCAGATCGCTAGATCGATGGATCGTTAGATCGCTAAATCTTTACATCGCTAGATCGATAGATCGTTAGATCGCTAGATCGTTACGTCGCTAGAGCGATGGATCGTTAGATCGCTAGATCGATGGATCGTTAGATCGTTAGATCGCTAAATCTTTAGATCGCTAGATCGATGGATCGTTAGATTGTTAGATCGCTAGATCGCTGGATCGTTAGATCACTAGATCGTTACATCGCTAGATCGATGGATTGTTAGATCGCTAGATCATTAGATCGCACGATCAATGGATCGCTAGATCACTAGATCATTAGATCGCAAGATCAATGGATCGTTAGATCGTCAGATCGTTAAATCGCTAGGTCGATGGATCGTTAGATCGATGGATCGTTAGATCGTTTGATCGTTAGATCGCTAGATCGATGGATCCTTAGATCGTTTGATCGTTAGATCGCTATATCGATGGATAATTAGATCGTTAGATCGTTAGATCGCTTTAGCGATGGATCGTTAGAACGCTAGATCGATGGATCGTTAGATCGTTAGATCGCTAGATCGATGGATCGTTAGATTGTTAGCTTACAATATCGTTAGATCCCTAGATCGATGGGTCGTTAGATCGCTAGATCGTTAGATCGCTAGAGCGATGGATCGCTAGATCGCTCGATCGATTGATTGTTCAATCGTTAGATCACTAGATCGCTAGATCGTTAGATCGCTAGATCGTTGGATCACTAGATCGATGGATCGTTAGCCCGCTAGATCCTTAGATCGCTAGA